TTTGGTTGACAGCTTTCTTTAAATTATGTCACTGAAAAGGATATTAGTTGTATAAAATCAAACAATATTTAATTTTATTATTATTAAATTTTACAGGTGGTGTTTCTTATAGGTTTTTGCTTTTATTTTTTTCTGAAATACTTAATTGTGCAGATTGTAAAACAGGTTTGTGTATTTTCATTTAGGAACACTTTTCTCCTTAAATTGTTCTGCAGAAATGACTATTTTTAGGGAAAATAGTTTTTTATAGCCACTAAATTGTATTTGTTATTTTTGTACATGCATAACCAGGGTGATGAGGAAGTAATATTTTATGGAATACTTTTGTTCTATTTGAATTTTTCCTATACATTTATTACTTAAAATTATCACTAAGAACAGTGTCATGAAATCTAGGTTGAGAGTGAATACAGTAAATATGAGAACATGTAGTTCTAATAGATACCATTTCTGAAGACAAAGGGAGAAAAATATTGCCACTGCAAAGTAATGGAAGTATAAGGGCAGTGTTCACATTGTGCAAGTATTTAAGAGAATGTATAAAGAAAAAAATCTTACTTTCATGGATATAAATAGTTTCTTAAAGTAGCTGGAAGGGGAAAAATAATCTAATAAGACGAAATGCAGCATGGACGCCATATTGTAAACTGTGCCAAGATTATACAAATTGTAGTTGTTATTGATCAGAGTTTAATTATTTCATCATTTTTACTTTAATAGGGGATAATGAATGTCAGAAAATCTGTAATGTTTTATTTGAAAGATGTAAATAATGTATACAGACTTATATGTGATGGGATGGGGGAAGTATTTAAATTCTAGGTTTTTTTAAAAGGAAGAAACTGACTGTTTATAAGAAAATTAATAAATAGTTACTATGTTTGGCCATGACCTGACTTTGCTTTGGTGTTTATTTTTACTATAGGTATTCCTACACTGAACACATTCCAAGGGAAATTGAATATACATGGAGGATGTTTAACATTTCAAATTTATTAGGTATTATTTTCTGTAATGTTCACAACCCTAGAAGTTAGTAAATCTCAAATGTTTTATATCCTAGAAAACTAGAGCACAGAAATTGTAAAATTTATTGATGCTATTTTACTATTGGTCTAGGGTTCAAAAACCCTTATATGCCTGAATTTGAAACTAATGTTTGTTTTTTTTTTCTTTAATTGATAACAATTACAGTGAGAACAATTTGCAAAATAGTGACTTGTGGACTTTTCCATTAATCTAAGATATTATCTAATATTTTGTCTTCATTTTAGATAATTAAGGAATATCAGAGAATCATTTACTCTGATACTCATATTTCAAAAGGAAATGTGTATTTTAGAGTAATATGCATATTATTATAGAGAGGTATTTATGTTAGAGGCATTTGTGCTTGGATCTTCAAGTTGAGGTAGCAGCCACAATTTTTTAAAATCACTAGTAGTATTTGTGGAGAAGACAAGGAGTCAAAATGCTAGTCATTGCTGATGGGGACTGTGCATGCTTTAAAAACACCTTATTAGGGCTGAGGTTGTGGCTCAGTGGTAGAGCACTTGCCTAGCACCGGCGAGGCCCTGGGTTTGATCCTCAGCACCACATAAAAATAAATAAATAAAATAAAGGTATTGTGTCCAGTTATAACTAAAAAAAATTTTTTTAAACCCACCTTATTATTCTGCAATGCAGTATTTATAAAGCATCTACTGTGTATAAAGAAATAAACATATATACAGTAAAAATTAACTACATTTTGATAATTATGTTAATTGACCTCCACTGTACTAAATGCATGTTATTAATTCCCCATATAACATTGTCAGGAATAATGCTTTTGGCAATGTAAATTTCTACATAATTATTCCTTTAAGGCTTAAGTACCTGTGTTTAATAGAAATTTACCAAAAGATTGTACATGCTTTTGTTTTTAAACAGTATCAGTTCAGGGTCACATTTTCCTGATGACCTCATTCATCTTTATAAGCATGCATCAAATAGCTTCTTTTCCATAAAACTATATATATCTGGTGGCTCCTATATTCTTAAATGCTACTATACTTTCACATGTCAGATTATTTAGAAAACCCTGACTTCCCTGCTCCTTTTTTTAAGATGGCTTCTGTATCCCTCTGTTTCTAGGTAATTGAGAAGATTACAAGTGAAATTTATAATGAAGCTTAGTTGATAAATATTCTTTTATAGAAGTAGTTGGGCTGGTATGGGCAATTCCATGGGTTTTATGGCTACTACTTAAGATCAGTATTCAGGACCTTTTATTTTTTCTGCCTTTGCTCTCATTTTCTAGTCCTCAGTTAAATCCTGCTTCCTGTCTTTCCCTCCCTTCCTCCCTCCCTTCTTCCTTTCTTCCTTCCTGTCAAGGTCTTACTGTTAACCAGACCAGCCGTGAATGTCTGAGCTTAAGTGATCCTCCTGCTTATATATCATGAGTAGCTGGGACTACAGGCACACAGGTCTTCTCTCTTTTAGTTACACTAAAATTCCCATAGGAGAAACAAATTCCCAAATTGAAGGAGTAGTAAAATTTCTGGTAAGTTCAGGGATACATTCCTAAGTGGCTTCATGCTCCGTGTCCTATTTCAACTCTTTGAAGTTCCAAAACTCTGAAAATGGAAAAGTATTTTCTTTTTTTTTTTTTTTTTTTTTAATATTTATTTATTTTTTTAGTTCTCGGCAGACACAACATCTTTGTTGGTATGTGGCGCTGAGGATCGAACCCGGGCCGCACGCATGCCAGGCGAGCGCGCTACCGCTTGAGCCACATCCCCAGCCCGGAAAAGTATTTTCTTGAATTAGGAAAACAAAAACCATTTACTCAAAGAGTGCATCTATCACAAAGTTAACAGTCTTCATCCTTCTTAAAAATATATATCACTGTGAAAACTATATATCACTGCAAATAATTATTAGTGCTTTTGACTTAACACCCCTATAGTGGGGTGGGAGTAGTTATTTATATACAAAGTATGCACTATTTCTTTTGTAAAATTTTGAACTTGGAAATTTTGAATTCCAAAACATCTGGCTGCAATGGTTTCACATAAGGTATTATGAACCAATATCAAGAAGGTGTCTTGAAAAGTGCTTTTCTCAGGTCTCTTCTTGGCTATTCAAGAAAATGGGAAATTATGCTGAACTAATTGCTAAGAGAGATTCCCTATTTCCTCCATTTACTTCGTTTATATTTTTGAAGTATACTTTTAAACTTACAGGAACTCAAATTCTCACTGCCGGAAATGTGAAAACAGTTTTTAATTTTTTTCCAGTGCTTAAACTCAAATACTGCACCATACTGCGTTTGTGTGGAAACCATACTTGGAGACTTCTACTCCTCATCTCTCCAGCTGATCCACACGGAACTTAAGTTTTCTCCTATTGAAGATTTTGGAGGCTCACCTTGCCTTATTTTCTCAGTAGCTGTGAATACTCATCATTTCATATGTTCCCCCTAAGTTTGGGTGTAGCTTCCCCATTACCTTTTCCCCAACTTCATTGCCATACTTTGATGACAGCTACTTTTCAGCTTCAAGGCTCTAGTAGCTAACCACTGTGAAAAGATAAATGAAAATAAAATAAAGGCATAGCAAGATTATACAGGGAAGTGAGGCTGGAGTTGTGGCTCAGAGGTAGAGTGCTAGCCCAGCATGCGTGAGGCACTGGGTTCAATCCTTGGCACCACATAAAAATAAAATAAAAATATTAAAAGGAAACAGCTTTAAAAAAATTACATAAGGGAGTTACAAAGGAGAATTTTTGCTGTTTTCCAGAGTTCCTCCATGGACTTGTTTTAATTTCTGCTCTTTAGTTTTGAGAATGGAGTTACCATCCACTCTCTCCTTCTTCTAACTCTGCTTTCAGATGCATTTCAGGTCTGACCATAGCTGCAAGGTAAAAACTAACCTTTTGATTACTTGTAGACAATTTGAATTTGATTACTTCCAGGAAGCATAATAACCTGGTATAACCCATCCTAAAAATGAACAACTGTAGTTGTCCTCAGCTAGATTAGCTTCCGCAGAGCACATGGCACACAAATAGACATCCTAAAATCAACATACGTGTTTTAACTGTGCCAGGTGATGGAGTCAAAAGTTAATTATGCCATTGTCATGCTTAAGAGAAACCTACCTAGTCTTGCGGTTCCCTACACAGCACTGAAGGGCATCCAATTCAGATGGAGAAGGGTATGGAATCTCAGGAAAGGCTTTCTGAGAATAGTGTCTGACCACCCATTCTAATCCCAGTTCCATAAGCCCATTTCAGGACACGAAACAGCTTCTGGGTGCCTGCTTCCTCAATGGCAAATGGGGATAATAACAGGATCTAGCACTGGATCACTAGTTAACTCGAAAAGAGCTTAGACTTAACCAATGTGTTTCTATAATAACCTATGTATATATGCCTATAGGTATATATTGTATATAAGTATACAATAAACATTCAAGTTGTAGGGAAAAAAAGTAAAGCGCTTATAAAAAACTGCCTTGTAAGGGCAATGCATTTCCTAAAAGCCTTTGCTGATGGGTCTTACAGGATAACAGAGGGTAAACATTTGACTTTACACCACAGATTTTTCTCCCCTAACAAGTACAAAATTTCAAGTCTAGTTTTGTCCTGACGCTTCGGTTTATTCCCAGAAGCCACTCGGAGAAGCAAGTGAATTCTCCAGCTACCAACCCCCTCTTACCCCTCCTTGGCCCGATGTCCCGTACCCCTTCTCCCCTCCCCCCAGGTTTCGGAATCGACGCCGCACGCGCGGCACCGCGTGACCCGTCGTGACGTACGCAGCGAACCGCACCGGAGGTGGGAGAGGGCCGAGGGGACGGTAGAGGGCTTGGGGGCGGAGCCACCCTACTGGCCCGCCCCCGTCGGCAGCTGCCTCCGCGCGCGAAAGTCAAACCTGGGGACCCGCCGGCGGGGGAAACCTAACTGGGTCAGATCTGGGCGAGTTCCGGATCGTGCGCGCGTCTGTGCTCTCCTCCTTGCCCGAAGCATTTGGGGCAGCCAAAGACCAAGAATGGCCACCCCGCCCAAGAGAAACTGCCCATCTCCCTCCACTAGCTCCGAGGGTACCCGCATCAAGAAAATCTCCATCGAAGGGAACATCGGTAAGAACCCCTGGTGAATGTTGGGCTCAACGCAGGGGGAATCACGGTTGCGTCTGAAGGTCCCCTTCGCTGCCTCTAGCTGCTATTAGGTGAGGGCTTTGCTAGTCTGGAGGTGCGGACGCGGCCCCGGCTTTCTTTCCCGCCCAAAGCATCTTTCCCAGCCCTCCCCCGCTACCCTCCTGCGCCCGAGGCTGGCAGACGCTGGTCCCGCTGAGCGCCGGGTGGGCCGGCTTTGTGGGGCGCACTTTGGACCGCTGCACGGGTCTTTTTTGGGCACTCGAAGAGGAAAGGGTTTCTTTTGATGGTGGGTCAGATACAGCGGATTTCTTGAGGTGTGATTTAGGTTAAGTTACATTCACCGTTTTAAGGTGTACTGTTCTATGAGGTCTCAAACATAATGCCTTTTCACATCAATATAAAAAACATTTCCATCGCCCCCAAAAGTTCCTCTGTGCTCCTTTGTAGCCAACATCCTCTCCCTCTCTTTCTGGGAATTGCTGACCTGATTTTTTTTTTTTTAATTCCTGCGAGTTATGCCATTTCCAGAATGTCATATAAATAGAATCAGAGAGTCTAGCCTTTCGTGTCTTGTTATTTTAGCATAGCGCTTTTGAGATTCATTCATGTTTTTTTTCTGTAGTTTCTTTTTATTGCCGAGTAATGTGTTATTGCAAGGATATACCATGATTTATGTAGTCCCCACTTGTGGATGTTTGGTTTGTTTCTAGGTTTTAGCAATTACTGATGAAACTGCTATACACCTTCAAGTTCAAGGAAAGAGGCTTTTAATGTTCTAAATAGCATGGAGTTCCTCAACTCTACCTAACATCCAAGTAGTAACTAGAGTACGATTCAAAGACCACTAACGTTTCACTTTCTGGTTTTGTGTGTATGTGTGTGTTTGCCATACCAGGAATTGAACCCAGAAGCCCTCTACAGACTCTTTCTAGGTTGCACTGGATGTGGGTGGCTGGCTCTAAGTTGTGATCCTCTTGCCTCAGCTTCCTAAGTTGCTGAGATTATAGGTATCTGCCATTGCCCTGGACAGGTTTTTGTTCCAACTCTGTTGGAGGCAAACCACATCATGCATATCATTGTGCAAGGTGAACATGAATTTCCTACTATAGGAAACCTACTCCTGACACTTCCTGTTTTTTTTTTCTTTTTTTTTTTTGTTGGAGAGGAGAGAGAGAGAGAGAGAATTTTTTAATATTTATTTTTTAGTTCTCGGTGTACACAACATCTTTGTTGGTATGTGGTGCTGAGGATCGAACCCGGGCCGCAGCATGCCATGCAAGCGCGCTACYGCTTGAGCCACATCCCCAGCCCGACACTTCCTGTTTTGATAGAATTTTTTTGGTTGTAGGTTGGGTACTGGTCATCCATGCATACAGTATAGGTTTTCTTAACACATTCAAAGCAGTGTTCCTATAAAAAAGCAAGGCTAGTAGATGCTTCACCCATTCAGAATAAAACTGAATACACCCTCAAGAAGATCTTATTTTATTGCTGCAGGTTTAAGGCACCAGTGGGAAAGACTCTTATTTCATCTAAGCAGTGTAAGTTCTATGATGATGCATGTTTGCTGGTATGATGCATGTTTACTGGTATGAGTTCTCTTTGTGGAGAAAGATCATCTGTAAAGACAGGAAAAAACAGTTAACAATGCCATCATAAAATGTATTTGAACAGACAACACCTCAGATCAATATCACAATGTATTAATCTTCTTCTCTCTTCTTAAATCCAGTTAGGTAACATATCATATCTAGAAATCTACTTTCCCTGCAAGCATCTGTAATCTTCTCAGCACCTGAAATAATTTCCTAGTGTGTTACTYCATTTCCAATTTCTCTTAATTACTTGCAGAGCATTCATTCCATATACAGATGGAATCATGTTATAACCTGCTTAAAATTCCTGACTTCTCTATACTGAAAGGATCTGCAAACTGATGGCCTGCACTTGTACCATATTTTCCTGCTGTGATTTGGGTGGAGGCAGGGTGTTAGTTACTAGAATTTTAAAAATTTGAGATTCCCATAAACATCTAGGTTCTTGGCTTATGAAAAATCTAAAGATCTCCTAACACTGGGCCTATGTTTCTATGTAACAACAATTTGTGTTTAGATGGAGTGTGTTCCTCACCATTTACWGTCTCCTTTACACTAGGCTTTGTCAGTTGATGTTTATTACTGCTTTTGCACTGTTGTTCATGTTCCCATCCACCTTATTTGACAGATTCAAACAAGCTATCACTGTATAAATTTGTGGCTGGATGCTATGGCACATTCTTTTAATCCTAATGACCTGGGAGGTTGAGGCAGGAGAATCTCAAGTTTGAGGCCAGCCAGCCACAGCAACTTAGCAAAACTGTGTCTCCAAAAACAAACAAACAAACAAACAAATAAAAATAAAGGACCAGGTTTGATCCTCAGTACTGAAAAAAAATACTATTTTTTCTTTATGATTCTGTTTCTAGAATTTGAACTTTTTATTTTTATTTTTCAGTGCTGAGAATCAGATTCAAGGTTTGCATACTATGCAAATGTTTTACTAACAGAGAACTATACCCCATCCCTGCAATGTAAATTTTACCTGGTTATTTTAGTTTTGTACTAAAGTAGCTCATTATCTCATGTTCTATGTTATTAAAATACACCCTAATGTTAAATTTATGGAGCCCTTGGCCAGACATGGTGGCACACACTTATGACCAGCAGTTCAGGAGGCTGAGGCAGGAGGATTGTGAGTTCAAAGCCAGCCTTGGTAATTTAGCAAGGCCTTAAGCAATTTAGCTAGACCCTTTCTCAAAATTAAAAGTAAAAAGGGCTGATGATGTGGCTCACTAGTTAAGGCCCTCTGGGTTCAATCTGTGGTACCAAAAAAAAAAAAAAAAGATTTATGGAAGGCTTACCTGCTTCTTAATACTTTGTTCAGAATGACTTTTATCATCTTAATGCTTGTTTGACATTAAGAATTCAGTTAGTTCCTGGGATTTTTATAGAAGTATTAATGTGAATATCTATGGTTCTTGTTCTCTTTTGCCTTTGTCCTTGGTAGAATATTTACTTATTGATTAACTTATTTTCTAGTTCCCACTTCCCCCACAAAATTTAAGGAACTAAACTAGGACTAAGTATTGTTACTCTGTGTGAACTAAATGTAGCTATTATTACATTTAAACTTTAAAAATAGACTGCATGATTCTGCTTGTAGGCAGTATCAGAGGGAAGCTGAGGGCTGGTGTTGTGGTTCAATGGTAGAATGCTCATCTAGCACATATGAGGCACTGGGTTCAATCCTCAGCACCACATAAAAATAAAAATATTGTGTCCACCTACAACTAAAAAAATTTATATAAAGGAAGTAGAAAGTGGTAGCCTTCAGTGCATTCAGACTCTGAGCTGATGCCTTGGTTCTCTTTTCCTTTGTTCAGTGAATATTCAGTGATCATATAAAACCATTCTTCTAGATGCCTTATAGTCCCTAACTTGATCACCGTGTTTTTCTCATGACTAGTCACTTTGTTTATCCTTAGAAAGTTTTTCTTCTCTTCTGGAGATAATATGACTTTTGTATTTTATTTGTCTCACTGTTCTCTCTGTGTCAATTTTTTATTTAACTCCCTCCCTTTGCTTTGTGTGATCCTTTAAAGTTCTTATATATATTTTTTCCTATTTATTTATTTATTTATGTGATACTGGGAATTCAACCTAGGGCCTTGTGCATGCCACGCAAGTGCTTTGCCACTGAGCTACATCCTCATTCCTTTCATTCTTTTCTGTTGCTCTCCATAATGTCATAGGTTTTGAATATAGTTCTGCAAGTCAAAGGTAAGTTCATCCTTGCCTGCCTGTTTATAAGGAAGAAGAAGCTTTGCTTGCAAAGATGTTAAAGTTATATATGGGTTTGTATGTGTAGAGAGAGAGAGAGAACATTATGCTGATCAGCAATGTCTAATATAACCACATTTGGTGACATTAGATAGAAAGGATGTGGTAGAGCTGGGCATGGTGGCGCATTCCTATGATCCCGGCAATCCTGGAGGCTGAAACAGCAGGATCGAGAGTTCAAAGCCAGCCTCAGCAAAAAGCAAGGCACTAAGCAATTTAGTGAGACCCTGTCTCCAAATAAAATACAAAATAGGGTTGGGAATGTAGCTCAGTGGTCAAATACCCACTGAGTTCAATCCCCAGTACCCCCCCACCACCAAAAAAAAGAAAGGGTGTAGTGGTCATTAGGTGTGTAGTTCTACACTGTACCCTGTGAGGTTCTACATCAAGACTGTCCCTACTATTAAATATAATATATTCCTAGGTAACTTTAACATAGTAAACATTGTATACCCTAATTATACATGAGTTGTCCCTATGTCCCCTGCCAACCCCATATCTCAGAAACTAATGAGTGGTCAGAGAAAACTAAAGTACATATTTTTTATTTATTTTTTTTAAGGTTTGATAGAAAACACAGAACCATGACAATTACTGCTTTTAGGAAGTATTTTGCAGAAAGGTTTTATAATATTTACTAGTCATTGTGCTTATTAGTGTTAGTAATAATCATATTATTCTTTATTCTAAAACCCTAGTCATTGGATGTATCTTCATATTGATATTATGGTTACTTGTGTGTTCCTTAATTAGTTTTAGATAGGAGAAAACTGAGCTTCTTTGTAGACTTGAGAGAGTGGAGCTGGTAGACAGGAAGGTTCTAAAAATCTGAGCCTGGAATGAATAATAATATAGTGATAGTTTATTTGTTATTACAACAGTTTCCATGAAGAAAGTACTATTATCTTTCTTGAGGAAACAGGCTCAGAGAGGTTCAGGGACTTGCCCAAATTCACACAACTAGTTTTAAGTGGGAGACTAGCCTTACTGTTTCCCAGAATTGCTTGGCTAAGGAAAATATGTCTTGGAGTTGAACCTTTTTCTCCCAGATATAACATCTTGCCTAAAACTTCACTAGATTCTTATTTCCTCTGTTCTCTGGCTTTGCTAAGCTAAAAACAGTAACAAGTGTGCTCTGCACAATTGAATAGGTACCCTTTTAATTTCTGTTTTTTTTTTTTTTAAAAGAAAGTTTAAGAAATTGCATTTGTTGCCTGTTATAAATCCTGTAAAAGCTGATGATTATTTATCTTTATTTTTTTTCCTGACAAGTTTTCTTACTGAATTTTACCTTTCCTTTCATAACAGCTTCAGGGAAGTCAACATTTGTGAATATCCTTAAACAAGTCTGTGAGGATTGGGAAGTGGTTCCTGAACCTGTTGCCAGATGGTGCAATGTTCATAGTACTCAAGATGAATTTGAGGTATGAAAATAGAGTTTTAAATGAATAAAATAAAAATCTTTTGGATTAGAGGACCAACATCTTTTTCTTTTCCAATAAAAATTTCAAGTCTATATCTTCATTGTGGTGGTGTTACATGAATATTTATATAAATATATACATAAAGCTTTGTTGACCTATGCTTTTAAGATTTACTATTGTATCTAAATAAAGTTAAGTGTTTTAAGAGTTTAAAAATTAATGAAGCCTTAAAAAATTGAATTTCAATTTAAATTTCTCCAAGGGCTTTGTTTTTGGAGCGGGAGAGTACTGAACTCAGGGGCACTTGACCACAGAGCTACATCCCCATCCCTATTTTTGTATTTTATTTAGAGACAGGATTTCACTGAGTTGCTTAATGCTTCTAGTTGCTGAGGTTGGTTTTGAACTTGCTATCCTCCTGTCTCAGTCTCTGGGATTATGGTCGAGCTGATGGGATTATAGGCATGTGCCTTCACTCCCTATTCAAAGGGTTTTACATTTTGATTAAAAACAAGCAAACAAACAAAAAAAATTTTTAAATCTTAGTTTACCTTTTAAGACCTTTGTCATAGAGAAAATAGTTTATTTCAGATTTCTTTTTATCATTACTATCATTCTTAAGACTTCTATTATAGGGCACAAGTGTCATTTTCATTGCCTTGCAAATGAGAAAGGAAGGAAATAACAGTTACATTTCCTTTTTTTAGTAGAAGAATTTTTGGTTGTGTGTATAGGAGAGAGTGATTGCTAATATTTTCATTTTTGGAGAATTGGGAATTGAAATTGAAAGAAGAAATCTTCAAAAATGGAAATGCATGCTAGAAACTTACTTTAAAAAGAGCAGGACAGAAGAGTGAAAAAAATATTTTTAAAAGTTTAACTRTTGGTAGGATTTCTGTGAATAATTGAATATTTAAAATATAAATCACATACACAAATAGGAATTACTAGCAGGATACTCTGTAGACTTTGAATATATATGATTTTAAATTAGTAAAAAATATTTTACTAACACTACCTTCTATTTGTTAAGCATAGTTACTTTAGGTCTGGGGCCAATTAGGTATACCCATCTTTATAATGTCTATGACTAAATTTAAAGGGACTTCCTCCCCAGATGGACCCTATTTTCTAAAGAAATTGATGTCTCCTATCTTTGAGGAAAGGTAGGATTAGTTTTAAAAAGAACTTTAAAGTGGGTGAATATATTTGTTTCTTTAACCATTTTTAATTGACATGTAACTGTAAAAGTGTATGAAGTCTATGTATAGTCTAAAGAACACTTCAAAAAGCTAACAGCTTTGTAATCATCATCCAGGTCAAAAAAATAGAACATTAATTATCATTTTAGAAATCCTGTTTGTCCAATCATATCTCTAAACAAGGGTACAAATATGTGAGGTGCTTCTAGTTGAAAGTTATTGCCCTGTTAATATTGAGAGTATATTGCACCCTTTAGTAATGTTGCAGAGAAGAGGTTGAAAATTGTATTAATATACTTGGGAAGATAATTTATAATAAGAAGATTGTCTCTTGAACTTGGAATCAGTTCAGAGAGATTGGTTAGATTTAGTGACTGACATCATTAGACTATGACACATTGATGTATCTGTCACCATTTTAAAACTATATGTCTTCATGAATATGGCACTTATATTTATGGGCTAGGACATTTTCTTTCCACGTACTGGAGTCAGAATGCCAAGCTGGCATTTTTAAAGTAAGTAGTATACATATGATCCTGTTATCATGGGGCTGGGAGGAGTACTAGAGATGGAATCCAGCGGCTCTCTACCCCTCTGCATCCCCAGCCCTTTTTTGTTTTTTTATTTGAGGGTTTTGCTGAGTTTCTGAGGCTGACCTTGAATTTATAATCCTGCCTCATTCTCCTGAGTTGCGGGATTTTAGGCATGTGCCACTGCATCAAGCTTGATTATCTTTGTTGAAATTTGATGCATATTCTTGGACGGTAGCTTTAATTTTGTGTCTATTAAAAGCTGTTATATTATTAGTCTTCTGTACTTCCAGGCAGAGATTCAAACAATGTGGGAATAGTATTTTGGGGTAGATTGTAGAATGTCAGGGAATGGGTAGCAGAGTGGCATCCTTCTTTTTTTTTTTTTTTTTTTTTTTGCCCTGGCCCTCCAGTATACTCAAGAATTGGGGTTTTCTTCATCTTAGATCAGTACTTCCCCAAACCCATCCCTGATCTATTCCTTGGAGTTATGTGACTCACCAACTGTATAAATCTTAGCTTTCTTGGAGTATTGTCAACAATGGGAAATGGACTGTTTTCATTCCAGTCCTGGCCAGCCCAGCCCTACTTTGGATGTTATCCATTTGATTATACTGCTTGGAAGTTGTAGAACTGGAAGAGTGGCTATTAGTAAATGTTGTCTTTCCCTGATATTTAAATATGCACTTGCTTATTTAGCTTGTTTGGGGTTTTTTTTAAAGCTGTTTTTATTTTAAACCTGCCACCTAGTGGCTGAAATGTTGCTGTACTGTTAATAGGCTACCACTAATTTTTTTAAAATTTATTTTTTATTTATATATGACAGCGGAATGCATTACAATTCTTATTACACATATGGAGCACAATTTTTCATATCTCTGGTTTGTATACACAGTGTATTCATACCAATTTATGTCTTCATACTTGTACTTTGGATAATAATGATCATCATATTCCACCATCACTAATTTTGATACAATGAAGCAGTGAAATAGTTTAAATGATTACATAGTCTCCTTCCCTCATGTGATAAAATGATCTTTAAAACTTATCACCTAGATGATTTATCAAATTTTGTATTAAAGGCTTATTTCCAAATAATAATATATTTGCTGATTTGATTTAATTGCCTCCTATTAGGCTTTTTGTTTTTTGGGTTTTTTTTTTTTTGTAGATAGACTTAAGGAGATCTCTCCTTTTTGTTCTTTTTCATCTTTTTCATGAATTTTTTACATTTATAAATCATTTAATATACAAAGTTAAAAACTATTTAGAAGCTGAGTGTAGTGGTGCACACCTGTCTTCCCAGTAATTTAAGAGACTGATGAGGAGGATTGGAAGTTGAAAGCCCACCTCAGCAAGGCCCCAAGCAACTTAGTGAGACCCTATCTCAAAATTAAAAAAAAAGAACTGAGGATATGGCTCAGTGTTAAAACACCTGGGTTCAATCTTCAGTACCAAAACAAACAAAACCAAAAAAACAAAACAAACAAACAAAAACACTATCTAGAATTTTACATTTTTAAAAGAATATCTTCTAAATTATTCAACAAAAGATAGAGATCATATTCCTTTGTCTGAAATCCTGGAGCCAGATGTTTCAGAATAAGAAATTTGCAAGGGCTGGGATTGTGGCTCAGTGGTAGAGCGCAAGACTTTCGCGTGTGAGGCACTGGGTTCCATCCTCAGTACCACATAAAAATAAAGGTATTGTGTTCATCTACAACTAAAAAAAAAGAAAAAAAGGAAATTTTTAGAATTCAGAATGGTAAATCAGTGTACATACCATACTACAATAATCCCCGCGTGCGTGTGCGTGCGTGCGTGYGTGTGTGTGTGTGTGTGTGTGTGTGTGTGTATTTTTTGCCATTGGGGATTGAACCAGGGATGCTTAACCACTGAGCCACATCACCAGCCCTGTTTTTTATATTTCATTTACAGACAGGGTCACACTGAGTTGCTTGGGACCTTGATAAGTTGCTGAGGCTGGCTTGAACTTGCAATCAATCCTCCTGCCTCGGTTTCCAGAGCTGCTGGGATTACAGGCATATTCCACAGTGCCCTGCTGAAACCCTCAATTTTTTAACTCTCAATGTATATACCATTCTACATTAACCTTCAATCAATCATGTATGATTATAGGGAGGGACAGCAGCCCTTCTTGCATAATCAAACATGTTAGTACTTTTGTAGTAATATAAATGCCTATTCACACCAAATGGGTTAAATAGATGTCACTGTCAGTTCATATTGGATTTGTAAGCAAATGAATTTTGTCATCAAGCTTATGAAAATTTTGTTTTCAGAATTTCTTCAATTTTGAAATTACAAATTCAGATGAGGGAATGCAGACCTTTATAAACTTGTGTGACAGGACATGAAAGATTTTTAAAAAGCATAAGCTTTCAAATACATTATAAATTAACAGGCATCTTCTCTTTGATTTTATTAAATGTACATCTTAAATATAGGTACACATAGCATACAATATGATTTATGACAGTTGGTATTCAAAGGCACAGGTTCACTATTCTGTAAGAAGGGGATATTGTTGAATGTGCAGTAAAATTAAAAATGAGATTAGACCTATCATCTTATAGCATCACGTATACACTTTGGATCCCTAACCTTCTTATGGCAGATAAATGGCTGCAGATGATGCAGAAAAGGCTTATGTCTGGTGATACATTCAAATGCGAAGGTCCTAAAGCTCCAGTAATTAACAATGGCTGTATAAAGCTTATTCTCAAAGATCTCTGGGGTCAGATACTATAGTATTCCCACAAAAGTTGTAGTAAGACTTCTTTGATCAGTGCCTTTGGCGTATCCCAGATTAATTATTTTATTCATTATCTTTCCACCAACATACAGAAGAACTACATATTTAGGTTTTAAAACTGAGGTATAATTTTAGTTTTTGTGCAAATATCAAATCCCAGACCTTCTATCACTCAGTAAAGAACTAATCTGGCTTTCTTTAAGTCTACTTCAATTTTCTGGTTTGTTGAGTAGCTTCTGAAGACCTCCAAAACAGTATTTCATTGCTAAAAAAGGCATATCATTAATCAGAAAATTCAATTCCTCAGGAACGTCATAGGCCTTTACAACATTGGCATGATTCAGCTTCATGCTGATTTCATGTCACCACTGTTCTGTTTTTGGTACTTAGCTCTAGGTGATGAGATTTATTTGCTATTTTGGGGTCAAGTTCCCAGTGCTGGTACAGATAGACATTTCCAGAGCTGTCAGTGTCAAGTTGCTCCTAGATCTCTCAGGGCCCACCTATACCTGGCCACATTTTAGGAGTCAGCTTTATTGGGTGGAAGGGCAAGCAGTGTTAGGCTCTGACAGTGTTCCTGAACTGAATTTTTTTTTTCGGCGGTGGTGTGGGGGTGTTATTGCTATTAATTGTGAAGCATTATGTCACTTAAATTTATTTTTTTAAATTTAAGTTGACCAATGAAACATTTATAGTGTACAACATGATGTTTTGAAATGTATATATGTTGTAGAATGGCTGTCAAGATAAGTAGCATATGTATTACCAGTGCTATTTTACTTTGTATTATTAATACTAAGAAACCAGTGAGAAATTAGTAACTGTGAGAAAGGAGGTATATATTTGTCTTTGAAACAACTTATTTTTTTCTTTTTTTAGACCTTGATATTTTTTTCTCACTTACCAATAATCTATACTTCCTATAAAATAGTGAAATATTCTCTCATGAAGCAATAGTGGATATGAATCAGAGAGAACAGAATAAAAACCACTATAATCCCATCATTCTGTATGTTTCATTTATATAGTTGTGATAATAAATTACTAAATCCAGTTTGGGTAAAGGTAAATACAATTTTTTATTTTATAAAATAATACCACTTCACAGTTAAGAAAATGTCGGATTATCCAAAGAGGGAAATGAAGCTGGGAGCGGTAGTCCACGCCTGTAATCTCATGGGCTTGGGGATTACAGGTTTACACAGGAGGATTGTGAATTCAAAGCTAGCCTCAGCAATGGCAAGGCACTAAACAACTCAGTAACTGTATCTAAATAAAAAAAAAAAATACAAAATAAGGCTAGGGATGTGGCTCAGTGGTCAAGAGCCCATGAGTTCAATCCCAAGCACCAAAAAAAAAAAAAAAAAAGAAGGAAATGAAACTTACCTATAACCTTATTACCCAGAGATAAGTGCAGATCCTATTTGATACAACAGTATACAATTTTGTACTGTTTTTCTCAGCTATAATAACCATTATGACTTAACAATTTAAAATATCATTAAAATTTTTCTGTAAATGAAAGGCAGCTTAATTAATTGTATGTATATACCATTATATACTTAATATAATATAAATACCTAATAATTCAGTGATAGCCTCCTATTTACCTAGCACTGTGATAGACAACTTTTCAGTTAAATCTATATTCTAGATTATTTCTTTAAAATAAAATTCCAAAAGTGGACTTAATGGGGCCAAAAATTACAGATTTTTTTTAAAGTAGCTAAATTGCTGTCTAAGTGTTATACCTATAAAATTCTATTACAAAGTTTTGCTTCAGTTTTAATTTATGCATTTGTATTTTTAGAACTAGCTGATTATCATTTTTATAACTAATGAGTCAGGATTGATCCTCTGAGTTCTTTTAATATAGTAGACTTTGGAATTACTTTGGGCAAGAGAGATTACATTTATTGGGAAATTCAAATAAAAGGTATATGATTTTGTTATTAATTTTTAATTTTTATTAAAACATGAAATTTTACCATCTTAAATGCCTTTTTAGGTGTACTGCTTTGATAGTTTTAAGTACATTTACAGTGCAAATGTACTGTGCAAATCTTTTGCATCTTTCACAACTAAAACTATGTCTATTAACCACTCCCTTTGCCTGCTCTTCCCAGCCCCTGGTAAATGGCATTCTACTGGGTATAACTTAAGAATCTGACAGCTTTTTCACTTCGCATAATGTCTTATGTTGTGGTCTTTTTTTTTTAATCTTTAATATTATTATTGCTTATTGTTATGTGGTACAGAGGATCGAACCCAGAGCCTCACGTGTGCAAGGCAAGCGCTGTAGCTACCACTGAGCTACCACCTTAGCCCCTTATGCTGTGGTCTTTTAAAACATATAAATACTTATTTAGAAATGAAAAAAGTACCTATTTTAGTGGATATAAAGAGATGGGGAACTCAGATTTTTAAAACAAATAGCATTGTAAAAGAAAATGTATATGTATAGTTACAATAAAAGAACTAATAAAAGGGCTGGGATTGTGGCTCAGCGGTAGAGCACTCGTCTAGCACGTGCAAGGCCCTGGGTTCGATCCTCAGCACCATATAAAAGAATAAATAAATAAAATAAAGGTATTATGTCCAACTACTTCTAAAAAATAAAATTTAAAAAAAAAAAGAACTAATAAAAGATACATTTTAAAAATAGAGCTAATGTGATGCTGGATGTAGTATACTTGTAATCCTTGCTGAGCCAAGAGGATCAAAAGTTTGAAACTATCCTGGGCAGTTTAGCAAGACCCTGTCTCAAAGTAAAATTTCAAGAAAGAGGCTGGAGGTGTAGCTCAGTGGTAGAGCACCCCCCATGTGTTCAGTTTCCAGAACCAAAAAAAGCCCTGAGCAAACAAACCAGCTAGTATGAGATGTGTAGTGTTCATTATCATCAGATGAATTGTTTTCATCTTCCTGTTCACTGTTGACTTACTCTAGCTCAAAAAGTTTCAAATTTCTTATCATCATCTATTTATATGGTCATATTTATCTCTTTGGAGTTCTAAATGTCACCAGTACCTGAATGTCCATTTTATTCAGAAGATTTGGGAAATTTTCTTCTATTATTGCACTGAATGTTTTTTTTTTCTTTTAAAGAATTTTACCTTCGTTTTATTTGTTTTTATGTGGTGCTAAGGATTGAACCCAGTGCCTCACATGTGCTAGGCAAGTGCTATACCACTGAGCTGTGTGGGTTTTCTGTGCCACTGGCTTGTATCTCTACTTTTTCCTCAAGACCTGTGGGTCTTAAATTTGATTTTCTATTGTCCCAGAGACTGTATATTTTGTTCAACAAAGCCCTGGTGGGGAGAAGTTGGGAAATCTTTTCTGTAGATTTCAGATTTTTAGCATTCTGGTTTTGGGTTTGGTGGATGCTTAGAGGTATATACTAAACTTGTGGTTATATTCTGAGAGTTTTTTCTTTTTCTTTTGCAGTTTTTGGGAATCAAACCCAGGGCCTTGTGCATGCTAGGCGAGCATTCTCCCACTGAGTTATACCTCTAGTTAAATTGTGAGAGTTTTACTTAATAGTCATGAGGATGTTAGGTTGGATACAAAGGTTGAAAGTGAATGGCTATTAAAGGGACTAAGATAATTTTGGCTTTTGACCCCCAACAGTCCATCTCTTCACAATCATGATATCCTCAGCCAAGGTCAAGCAGTCTGCAGAATTTTTACTCTAGGTGCTACTCTTCAGAGAACTTCAGTTCCACATCGTCATAAACAATCTGTGTTGGGGGTGTTGCCCCACTGTCTCATAATTTTTTTTTTTATAATTTTGAAATCAGAAGCCAAACAAGCTTCACATTGCATTTGGTTGATATGTCTTTTCAATTTTAATATCTTAGTTGCCTCTTTTTATTTTTTCCTTTGCAATTTATTTGTTGTAAGAAATTGAGTCATTTGTTCTATGCAGTTTGCCTCCTTCTGGTTTTGGCTGAATATATCATTGTGATAAAATTTACCATGTTTTTTAGTTYTCTGTATTTTCTACAAATCTGTAGGTAGACCTCCATAGACTTGATTGGATTTAGTTCTAATTTTGGGGGGGGCATGATTCCTAAGTGATGATGTGTATTTCTGTTTACCATTACATTAGGAGGATGTCATTTGTTAAAATTGGTCAGTTACTTTAGGTGGTATCAGTCTAATTTGTCATGGGACACTTGAGACAGAAGTTTCATTGAGTCCTAGAGTTTGAGGTCAGCCTGGGCAATACGGCAAAACCACATTTCAAAGCAACAACAAAAATAAGTGAATTTTTTTAAAATGAAAAAAATCCCTGTTTGTCCAATCATATCTCTGAACAAGGGTACAAATATGTGAGGTGCTTCTAGTTGAAAGTTATTGCCCTGTTAATATTGAAAGTATATTGAATTATTTAGTAATGTTGGAGAGGAGAGGTTGAAAATTGTATTGGGAAGATAATTTATAATAAGAAGATTATCTCTTGAACTTGGAATCAATCTTATGTTTGGTAGGTTAGGTTTATTCAATACACTTTCAGTTTACAATATTTTGAACTTATAATTGGTTTATCAGAATGTAATCCTATCTGAATCGAGGGGCATCTATGAATTAGGTCTGTTTGAAAATCATCTGGGAATAGTGGGGACTGATGAACTGGAGAGTATGTATCCCAGTTTATTTTTCCAAGAAGAAATAAAAGGATAATGTTTCTTGGCTTTCCATTTTAAAAAGAAAATGTAAATCCAGATAATTTCATTTAGTTTTTAAATATTGACAATTAATTAAAAAATTTTTAAAGTCCTACTTTAGCCAAATAATTTCTTTCATAGCTTGTTAGTTTGTGACCTCTTGTGAAGATTTGAAGATTTTTCAGACTTCAGATAACTTAAAATACTGGGGGAAAAAGTGTAAGGAAGGGGACTTGACTTGGTTTTATTAATCATCATGCATTTATTTGTATAGCTTTTTTTGGAGCCTTAAAAAGTTCAGATAGCTCATAACGTTGCTTTTTTTTTCTTTTGCAAATTCAAAACAGGAACTGACAACATCTCAGAAAAGTGGTGGGAATGTTCTTCAGATGATGTATGAGAAGCCTGAACGATGGTCTTTTACCTTTCAATCATATGCCTGTCTCAGTCGGATACGAGCTCAGCTTGCCTCTCTCAATGGCAAGCTCAAAGATGCAGAGAAACCTGTATTGTTTTTTGAACGATCTGTGTACAGTGACAGGTATATATAAATGGTTTATACTTGGTTATCTGAAAACTTGGCTTAGAGTTGGACATTTTTTTTCCTCCTGTTTCCTGTGAATTAAAGTAATAATAGAGGCTGAGTTGAGGAATTGAGATACATAATGGCATTGAATCTCCTCAGCATTCTGGTATTAATATCATTGAGAAGTTTTAGCATTTATAATTTCTGGCTTCTGTGGAATTGGTAGGGAATAGTAGCTATTTAATCCAGATTTGTAGAGAAGTTTTAAAATTCTCATCTGTTCTGGTTAAATCTGGTTCTATATCCTTGTGTCTCACCTGAACCAGTGAGATAAAAATTTCCAAGGGAGCTTTAGAATTTTCCTGCTTATGTCAGATTCTTTGAATCTCCAAATTAATTCAGAATAGTTTCCAAAATTTTTTGGTTTCAGGACCCCTTTCTATCCTTAATGATTGTCCTTGTATCCAAAGTGCTTTGTATCTTACTGATGTGTATATCTTGTTATAAATTTAGATTGAGAAATATTTTAAAATTATTTACTCATTTAAAATTAGCAATAAACCCATTTCATATTAACATAGATAACATTTTTAATTAAACATTATATTTTTCTAAACAAAAAGTAGTGAAAAAAATAGCAGTTCTTTACACTTTTGCATGTTTTTGTCTGACTTAATAGAAAAATTTGAATCTTCATTTGTGCTTCTGTATTCAGTATGTTATATCTTCTTTTGGTTGAGATGTAGTAGTATGTGAAGTAATCTGGCCTCTCATAGAACTTCTTGAAGAATCTTTGAGACTTCCAGTGGTCCTCACATGACATTGGGAGAACTGCTGACCAAGAACATGTAGCCCATAGTTGAAGAAACTCATGTTTTTTTTTTTTTTTCCTGTTATCTGAGGCACTATCTGCCACAGGATTTAGGTGAATATTTCATATTCATTTAATAGATTTATTTTCTATTTCTTTGTGGGTTTTTAAAAAAATGACATGTGTATTGATGAAGCCTCTCTTTCAGGTATATTTTTGCATCTAATTTGTATGAATCTGACTGCATGAATGAAACAGAGTGGGCAATATATCAAGACTGGCATGACTGGATGAATAACCAGTTTGGCCAAAGCCTTGAATTGGATGGAATCATTTATCTTCGAGCTACTCCAGAGGTGAGAACCAATAAAAATTCACTTGCTCCATTGAAAACTTAAAGTAGTATTTAGAAATCTTTTCAGTTGTGTGTGTTGAAGGCAATTTAATTCAACTCCAGCCCTCCATGTCTTCATCTCCAAACTCACAACTTTATTGATAGAATTGTTCTGTTTTCTTGGCAGAGTAGAAGCAAGACTTGTCAAGTAGCACTTTTAGAACCCGCTCAGTTCTCTTTTATTTTTCATCTTTATTTCTTCCTAACTTGCAGACTTTCTCATCCCATTTTACTCAAGCAACTTCTACAATATAGGCTGCATATGAGGTAGGACTTAGGATATTTTAATTTTCCAATGCCTAGGATAGGGTCTGGGTATACAGTAGGAGATATGTAAATATTTGCTGAATGGATGGCAAAGTTGGAGGTTCATTTCAAGGAAAATCTTTTATAATTGTAACTTGAATGAGTAGATAGTAACCATTAAGTTGAAAAGAGACTTAGTTAAAGGAGCTCCCTTGAAAATATGCCTTTTATGATAAATTATAACTGCAATAGCTGTTCTGTTTACATCATAATATATTATTATTGATCCAGGAAGATCAAGTAGATGCTTTTCATGAAATCAACCTAAATAATAGGATCTTACATTTAACAGGAAGCTTTCTGGGTTTGACACTTGCATTCTCATTGTTTCTCTGTTTTTTAAATTTCTACTTCTTGGGTAAGTCAAAAGATCTAGGTTTCTGATTACAGTAGATTATTTTGTTCCTTTTTTAATGTCAAATAAGCCAGGATTCAGCAGTTATAATAATATTGAAATTCACTTTGGGGCTGGGGATGTGGCTTGGGAGGTGGCGCGCTTGCCTGGCATGCGTGCAGCCCGGGTTCGATCCTCAGCACCACATGCAGGGAAGATGTTGTGTCTGCCGAAAACTAAAAAATGAATATTAAAAATTCTCTCTCTTTCTCTCTCCCTCTCTCACTCTCTCTTGAAAAAAATTAAAAAACCAAGAAATTCACTTTTATTTTTGAGAAGAATCTTTTTGAATATGAATGTTAAAAAAGAGCATGAAGAATACTAATGATTTTATTCTGCTGGAAACAGTTTCTTAAAGACTAACACAAAACTACTGTTTTATCTCATCAGTATTTTTTAAAAATATTTTTTAGTTGTAGATGGACACAATACCTTTATTTTTATGTGGTGCTGAGGATCAAACCCAGTGCCTCATACATGCAAGGCACACGCTCTACCACAGAGCCACAACTCCAACCTCTCATCAGTATTGTTTATGATATAGTTTGACTAAATGTTTAATTATTGAAAAAGAGAATTTATAATAGACTTTGAAAGACAGTTTTTATGCTGCTATAGGCTTATGCATGTTATTTAGGTTGAAGGTTTCCCCTCCCCCCTCTGTCCATCCATCTATTCCTTCTTTCGTTTCTTCCTTCCTTCCTTTTTGTGGTGGTAGGGATCAAACCCAGAACCTTCTGCATGCTGCAAAGATGATTTACCACTGGGCTAGGGAGTTTGGAGGTTCTTATGTCTTTGGATACATGATAAATTTCTGAGGATTTATGAATCCCCACAAATTATGTGAATTTTTGTATGTATGTATGTTTTCAGGGGAATGATCTAGAGCCATACTTATAATGTGACTATTTAAATTATGGCTATTAAAATTAAATAAAATTTTAAAATTCAGTTTTTTTTATCACTACACTAGCCATGTTTCAAGTGCTTAAAAGCCATAAGTGGCTAGTAGCTACTTTATTCAATAATGCAGATATAGAACAGGCACAAAACATCCCATGTTCTTTTCAGTTGTGGTGCTCTAGAGTTATCATCATGTTAAGAACCACTGCCTTTAGTGATTTTATATTAACTGAACACAGATGTTCAAGTTTGATTAACAAAAATGTAGGATTGAAAGATTGCTGTACCTTTTAGCTGTCCTATAAAAATTTTAAGTAGATGTTTAATGAATTTTTCTCCCTCTTTTTACCAAACTTACATTGGTTAGTATATTTCATATGTGGAGAGTGAAAACTAAAGAATTATTTTGACTTATTTTTGAAAGTACTATTTAGTATAGCGCTATCAAATGGCTGAAAAGCCATATGGAAGGAAAAGTGAACTACTTCAACTTTCTAGAAGAAAGAGAATTTGGCTAGCATAACTTAAGAGGCACAGAAAAGAAATTTTGATGGCAATAGAAAAAATAATTTCCTTGTCTTTTTTTCTTATTGCTTGCTTTTAGAAATGCTTAAGTAGAATATATTTACGAGGAAGAACTGAAGAGCAAGACATTCCTCTTGAATATTTAGAGAAGCTTCATTATAAACATGAAAATTGGCTCCTGCATAGAACACTGAAGTAAGACTTCCTTATTCTTATTTATTATTCATTTTGAATAAATACCTAAATCAAATTTTAATCTAAAATTTGGAAGGTATGAATAGCAACTTGTAAAGTTTTTCATTTTTAATCATTTGTTTACTGATATCTTCTAGAATTAGTTTGGATTTTGATTCTCTTGATTGTAATGAGATCTCATTTCCTTGAAGTTTTTTGTCTTTTTTTTTTTCTTTTTGTGGTGCTAGGGATTGAACCCAGAGCCTTGTACATTTGAGGCAAGCACTCTACCAACTGAGCTATAAAGGCAAGCATTCTACCAACTGAGCTATATCCCCAGCCCTCTTTGAGGTTTTTATAACTAGTGTCACCTAGTTACAAAATTGCATTTCATTCAATTGATTAAGAATTTATCTCTTTGTGCCTTACATAGGTACTCTCTTTTAGAAATAATTTTTAAGATGCAGCAAGCAGTCCCCCCCCTTATTTGATATTTTGCTTTCTACAGTTTCAGTTATCTAGCATATTAAATGGGAAATTTCAGAAATAAACAATTCAGAAGTTTAAAATTGCTCGCCAAGCCAGGTGTGCAAGTAAGTTCCAGCTATTCAGAGGCTGAGGCAGGAGAATTGTTTAAGCCCAGAAGTTTGACACCAATCTGAGCAACATAGTGAAACTCAGTATCAAAAATTAAAATATTGTTTACCATCCTGAGTAGTGTTATGAAATCTTGTGCTGTCTTGCCCTGTCCCATCTCATCTGGTACAGCACAGACCTGAGTCATCCCTTACGACCTGCCTGATAGTCATTTAATTGCCATCTCTGTTATTAAATCAACTGTCATAGTATCATGGTACTTGTGATCAAGTTACCCTTGTTTTACTTACTAATGGCCCTAGACTCCATGAGTTATGAATGATACTTGAATTTGAGATATGCCAAAGAAAAGCCATTAAGAGCTTCCTTTAAGTGGAAAAATGAAAATTTTCAATTTAATAAGGAAAGAGGGTTTAAAAAAATCCACTTTTAAGATAGAAAAAGCAGGGGCTGTGGTTATAGGTCAGTGGTAGCATGTGTGAGGTACTGGGTCCTCACATCATATAAAAATAAATAAATAAAATAAAGGTATTTTTTTAAAGAGAGAAAAATCATTAAATTTGTATATGCGAGTATAAGAAAAAACATAGTATGTAGGATTTGTATATCTGTATTTTTAGGAATTTAGTGGAAGACTTGGAATGTGTCCTTAATCGAATGGGAGGACTAATGTAATATTTTTCAAGTTTGTTTCATGAAACATGACTTAAGAGGTAATAAAGCATAGTTGTTAAGTTAAATACATAGACTTTGTCCTTACTCAGCTTTTGGCTCAAGTCCAGTCTCACTTATTGGTATATAACCTTAGACAGTCTTTGAGTCTCAGAAAGACTTCTATGAGTTTTCCTTTTTTTTTTTTTTTTTTTTTTTTGGCAGTTCTAGGGATCAAACCACAGATGTTACATATGCTATGCAAGTGCTCTACCTCTAAAAGCCACATCCACAGCCCTTTTTAAATGTTGAGACAGGGTCTCACTAAGTTGCTTAGGTCTTTGCTAAATTGCTGAGGTTGGCTTTGAACTTGTGATCCTCCTGCCTCCGCCTCCTGAGCCACTGGGATTACTGGCATGTGCCACTACACCCAGCTTAAGATGAAAAAATTTCTAATTTATCCTATTTTCTGTTTGAGAATCATATGTCACAGTGCCTGTATGTTCTTATATCTTAATTCTTTCTTTACCTACAGTAAGTCTACATGAGAAGAAAGAGGCTACTGGTTTTATTACTTGCATGATAATTTTAGTGTAAAATGCTGATAGCATTTTGATTTTTCATTGATAAAGGGCTGCAGATATAGCTCAATGGTAGAGCACTTGCTTACCATATGCAAAGCCCTGGTTTGGTACTACCAAAAAAATGCATTTAAAAATTTTCTCTTTCATTCCTTTTTTAACTTTGTTCATCTCTCTCCTTTTAAACAGAACAAATTTTGATTATCTACAAGAGGTGCCTATCTTAACACTGGATGTTAATGAAGACTTTAAGGACAAACATGAAAGTCTGGTTGAAAAGGTAGATTTAGACAAAAACTATAAACTAATATTTGTTTGCCTTACTTAAAACAGTAGTAAAAACTTGAGAAACTTTTTGAACAGGAAGCTTATATAAAGTTGCCTTAAGAGTCAGCTTTAGAGGGCTGTAGACTATTTAGATTTAAATCCTGACTAAATTCTAGTTTTGTAGCCTGAAGAATCTTGTTTGTCTTTTTCTTTCTTTATAAGACAGGGATAATTGCAGTGATATGTTCTTTCTCACCTCCTTCCCTGCTTCTTTCCCTTTTGTTCCCCTTTATTCACACCACCAATAGTTTATTAATAATAAACTGCTTATAAAATTAAACTTTTTTCAACTAAATTCAATATGGAGGATATTTACAGTGGAAGAATATGGATTTCATTTTTAGCTGAAGTTTTGAGATTAAGAGATTATTTTGAATTTTGATAGAACCAATGTTAAGGGTGAACTGACATTGCCTAAGGTAATAACAATAATAATTGTTATTATTATTATCTTATTCAAAATTATTTTTTTTCTCTGATAATTGGAAATTGATCATATTAAGTGAGTGGTGCCATATTGATAAAGGAATGGGGAGAGAATTGTCAATAAACATTTGAGCCAATAGTAGGGGTAATTATATAGGAAATGTTCCTATACCCACATGAATAATCTTGGTGATCTGAGGTCTAAAGAGAAACCACAATTTTTTTGTTGTTTAGTTTTGGGAGTATCTTTGACTTTTTTCTTTCTCCTGTCACAGAATGTCAGCTGTTTATTATAAATAGGGTTTTGATATTTTTAAGGGAGTATATAGTTGTTATATGTTTTCCCCATCATATGATGTAAAACATATCTGTAAAATTTAAGTCACTTTTTCTTACTATTAGTGATGTCAAAAATATAGGATAAAATTCATTTCTGATAATATTAAAATTGTCATTGTACTAACTGCTAATCATCAATATTAGTGAGTCTGTAAATCTACTTGTTAATTTTATCTAACTCTTTGTTTTGACTAGAATCATTTTATATTATTATTTATATTTATTTTTATTAATATTATTAACAGTTGTATTTCTTTTTTTAGGTATGTTTACAAGGCAATAACCTCTGTCTTTTCAGGAGAATTTTTGTGTAGTCTAGAATACGTAGAGATTGAGAGTCCTGCATTATGGTGTTGTTCAATTAGCTAGGTTCAACTCAGAACTTATATAGCTTTCTCAGTACACTAACATTGCATAGTATGACAGAAATTTGTGCTTAAGAAATATTACATATCTACTCCCTGTCTGATTTTCAAAGCTTATTTAAACTATTGTGATTATTATTAAAGCTACACACATTGCTGTTCTTTGGTATTTGAATAAAGGGATAAAACTAGTGTTATGGCTGTTTTAGAACTGCATCAATCTTAGATATAAATTAAGTAGTTCCTATAATGATCTTTTAGGTCATTGATCTTTTACTACAGAAGTATTTAACAATATTTCTTTGGGAAACAAATGGCATGGTATTGTAATAAAGTTACTAATATATTTGGGGTCTTCAGCTTTTACATACACTTTCATGAAGACAAATATTAGATATTTCAAATTAGTTAAAAAATTATGTTAATATTTTTTTTCTTCCCTCAGGTCAAAGAATTTTTGAGTAGTCTGTGATCTTGCCGAAGACTCGAGATAGCCCATTGTTTCCAAATACTTCAGCTTTATGTGTCTTAATAGCTCAATATTCATAAGACTCAAGTTTTTAACCTTTTTTTCTTCAAGAAAAAGTGTTTTTGTATGTTTTATGAATCCTATGTAAAACTTTCTCTCCCTTCCTCCCTTCCTTTCTTCAATAGTTCAAAAATCAAAGATGTTTAATTATCTCTTATAACAGGAAGTCTGGAGGTAGATGGTTCCAAAATCTGAATAGTGGTTCAACTATATTATAAAAGACCTAGCCTCCTCCTGTCTTGTCCCTCTGTCATCTTCTACAGGTTAAMATTTTCCCATAGTGTTTTTCACCTCAGGGTTGACCAGTTTCTTAACTGGAAGCATTAATGTTACAGAGTAAATCATGTGTAAATTAGTGTACCTATTAAAAGTTGAAAAATAGAATTTCAGAATTCCTGGAATAAGGATTCTGAAGTGAGTTTTGTTTTGTTTTAATTTTTGTTTGTTTATTTTGTTTTATTTCTAGAGGTGCTAGGGGTCAAACTAAGGATTTCATGCATATTAGGCAAGTGCTCTACAGAGTTGTACATCTAGCTCCTGAAGTTTTATTTGGAATGTTTTTGATCAGGTGCCTCTCTTTCCATCCTAATTTATGTTAAAGATAAAACTAAGTTTAGTATTTAATCACTTGATATTTATCAATGTATCTATAATACATTTATAGAGAAGCAAGTTAGACCTGATTCCCAGTTTGGTAATGACGTAACCTATTTTATAAATCATTTCACCTTTTACCTTTGTTTCTGCATCTGTGATCCATTTTTTTTTAACATGGGATTTTAGATGATTGAGGAGAAAATTTTTGTATCTTTAAAAGATAGCTGAAAAGTTATTACCTGAGTATAAAGATTCAGTTTACCAGGAGTTTAAAATAGCTACCTGCTTTTCCCTTCTCAGACTATTGTTTTAGAAATGACAATTCTTATTACAATTAAGAGATTTACTTAAACTATGTTTTTCCTTAAATCATTGTAGGTGGAAGTGTAGCTTTTCTTAAATTTCTTTTCATTTTTATATCTTTTGTTGTATGTATGTGTGGGTGGTGCTAGGGATTGAATCTAGGGCCGTATTCACACTAGGCAAGTACCCTACCACTAGGGTACACTCCTCTTTTCATTTTTGTAGGAAATATTAGTAGAACATAGTGAGTAATAAGTTTTTCTATTTTATTCTGTATTGTTCCTGCAGTGGAAATGAGTAATTTTTGTCTATCTGCTTGGTGATATTCAAACAAGAAACTGAAGCCAAAGTGGAGTGTCTTAGCAGTTTTGTCTGTTTAACCTCACCTCTTATTTCTTGCCTCATTCTTCTTTCCCTACTCTCTGAATTAATTAGGCAGCATGTAGTTTCAGTTTTAAATAAATCATGTATTTCTACTTTGAAAACATTATTATTGCTTTTTGCTCCACAGTTTGCTTTACTTTGTAGAATTTTGACCTAAATTTTTCGTACCTTTCAGAGAAATCACAAATAAAAATGATTTTGGTTTATATGTAATATATCATGAAATCATTATCATTTTTTAATTGAAATAAGGAATAAAATTAACAAAACTTCCTTAATAAGGCACACTTCTCTCTAAACTACTTATGTGAGTAGTTGTAAAACTTTGCATGTTTTCATCTTAGGTCTGTATATAAATAAAGAGGTTTTATTGCCCCCTAGATATTTAAGTTAAGGTATGCATGTTTTTTCCCATGTAATTAACCTTTCTATTTTATACTTTAGAAAAATTGTACATTTTTTTGAAATGAGAGGAAGAGTTACTTATTTTAAAATTGTAGTTTTCTTTTTATGTCACTTTTTGCTTTTGGTTTCTTGTTGAAAGGTGATAATTCAGTGGATTAACCAATCCTGATGCACTGATCTTTGATTAGGGGACTTGATTTCAAATCAGTAATAAACATATATACTTAAATTGTATCATGATATGTGTGAGCTTTTTGGTTGTTTGGTATAAATGAATTTGTCTATTTACTTATATGTCAATAAGTAAGTTTGAATTTCACAGACTGCTGAAGTTAAACTCATTAAAATGATTACTTTTTTTTAGAATTTACATTCTACTTTTGAATAAAAAATTCTGAATTTAAAAAGTTTAAATTGGTCTGTAAATTACATTGATTTTATTATGAAGCTTATAATTCAGTGTTCTTCGCTGACCTTTAAAAATGTTTAGTAATTTTTAATTTATGGAATTGAAAAGATGCTAATAAAAAATTTGTTATTTCTTTGTCCTAGTGTGATACATTATTAAGAATTAAGCATAAATAAAAATTATCTCTTTAAAAAAAAGGAATTGAGCCTAGTAGTCTGAATTATTTCTTGAATCGAATCTTATCTTCCATTAGAATATATGTATTACTTTTTTAGAAAAATAAATTTTTAGTTGTAGATGGACACAATAACTTTTTTTTTCATTTTTTATGTGGTGCTGAGGATCAAACCCAGTGTCTCACATGCGCTAGGCAAGTGCTCTGCTGAGCCACAACCCCAGTCTATGTATTTTAATAACTTTCTCTTCCATGAAGGTAACGTATAAGACTTGTTTTCGTCATCCAGAATTTTCTCTTCTGCTATGCCTGAAGCTTAGAACATTATATCCTGAGCTACCTAGATATTTTAGGTGTCATATTTTAAAGAACAGAGTTCCAAAATGTTTTTAAAATGGAGATATAAATTTTATTACCTCCAGAAAATTGCTAGCTAAATTAAAACATTAAAGGGTTTATAAATTTTGGGGATGAGCTCAGTGGGAGACCACATGCTTAGCATGTGCGAAGCCCTGGGTACAATCCTCAGCACCAAAAAGAAAAAGAAGTTACAAATCTTAGTAAATAATAATCTTCACATAACAAAATTTTCTCTCTTAAAAATTTCTTTGAAAGAATTTTAGAGTCACAAAAAGTTGCAGAAATATAGTTTTTGTGTACCAATCATTGAGCTTCCTCCAATGATAACACTTTATTTAACCATTGTATATTAAAAAGACAAATTAATTTTGGTGYACTATAAACTACAGACCTAGTTTGGATTTTACCTTTTTAAAAAACTGTACACGTGGTAAATGGGAGTTCATAACCTACTTGAATCAAAAGTATGAAATATGATATGTCAAGAGCATTGTAATGTTTTGAGCAACCAATAAAATATAAATAAATAAATAAAATCAGTAAACATTAAAAAATAAAAATTTTTTTTGAGAGAATATTTTTAATATTTATTTTTTAGTATTTGGCGGACACAACATCTTTGTATGTGGTGCTGAGGATTGAACCTGGGCCGCACGCATGCCAGGCGAGCGCACTACCGCTTGAGCCACATCCCCAGCCCAAAAAATAAAATTTTTAAAGAACAGTTTTAGGTTCATAGCAAAATTGAGCAGAAAATGAGAGTTCTCAGATACTCCCTTTACCCTTTACAGTTCGTCCCCACTACTGATGCACCTACTTTGATAGATCATTTTCATCCAAAGTCCATAGTTTATATTAGGGTTAATTTTTTTAAATTGGTTGTTGTAGATGGACAGAATGCCTTTATTTTATTTATTTTTATGTGGTGCTGAGGATCGAACCTAGTGCCTCAAACATGCTAGGCAAGCACTCTGCCACTGAGCTATATATTATACCCCAGCCCTAGGGTTCATTTTGGTCGAATATATTCTATGGGTTTGATAAACATGTATCTACCATTACATCACTGCCCTAAAAAAAAAAAAAAAAAAACAAACTCTTATCTGTTCATTCCTCCCAACCCTGCTAAACACTAATCTTTTTACTGTTTCCATAGTTTTACCTTTTCTAGAAGTTGGAATCATATGATATGTAGCCTTTTCAGGTTGGCTTCATTCATTTAGTAATATATATTTAAGTTTTCTCTGTCTTTTCATATCTTGATAGCTAATTTCTTTTTAGGGCTGAGTAATCTTCCCTTGTCTGGATATATCAAATTATCCACTTACCTATTGAAGGACATCTTTGTTGTTTCCAAATTTTGGCAGTTTGGGATAATGTTGCTATAAACACCAATTTGTGGATTTTTGTGTGGGCATCAGTTTTCAGTTCCTTTAGGTAAATATCCAGGAGCCCAATTGCTTGATTGCATGTTAAAGATATTTTTAGTTTATTGTTTTATAAGAAACTGCCAAACCATCTTCCAAACTGGTTATCTTGTCTTGAGTTTTCACTAGCAATGAATTTGAGTACCTGCTCCTCCACATCCTTTTCAGCTTTTGCCCTCATCAGTGGGTTTTGTGGGGTTTTTTTTCTTCTTTTCCTTCTCTCTCTTTTCTCTCTCCCTCCTTCCCTCCCCGCTTCCTCTGCTTCCTTCCTTCCTTTCTTTTTCAGTGTTGGAGATTGAAGCCTCATGGACACTAGGCAAGTGCTCTCCTACTGACCTTTACTCCAACCTGGATTTCGGCCATTTTTATGGGTCTGGATATTATMTTGTCTTAAGATGTTGAGCATCTTTTCACATTCTTACTTGCCAGTTGTATGTCTTTTTTGGTGAGGTATCTATTTAGGTCTGTTTGCCCATTTATTAATTAGATTCATTTTCTGATTGTTGACTTTTAAAAGTATAAGTTTTAGATAATATACCTTTATCAGATTTTTTTTGGAAGCATTTTTTTTACCTGTTCTTGCCACAGTCCTGCTGCAGCAAAATAACCGGGGGGTGACGAACAACTTGTGTGCATTGATACAGCAGGAGTGGGAGCCCTTTATTGTAGGACAGGAGGGGTATATATACATTCCACACAGCTTATCTTAATTAACATAAACTATATACAATAGTCAACCAATAAGGAATCTCCACACTTAATGGCTCGCTGGCTTTACTTCATAAACCACTCCCTCTGGCAAAATGCCAGGCGCCATCCTGACTTGTTTATAGACCCTAAAATGTTCTGTGATTTGTCTTCCCATTTTCCTGATGTTCTTGATGTTCTTTCACAGAACAGGGGTTCTTAATAAAGTCCTGTTTACGAG